AAAAAAAATATGTAGGGGCACCTGGGTGGCTCAGTCAGTTAATCATATGACTCTTGATTCTGGCTGAGGTTGTGATCTCAGGGTCATGGGATCGAATGCCACATCGGGCTCTACGCTCAGTGTGGAGTCTGCTTGGGACTCTCTCTCCCTCTGCCCCTTCCCTCACTTGTTCTCTCTCTTATTATAAAATAATAAATAAAATCATTTTAAGAATATGTATGTGAATTATGACATCAATTTAACATCAGAAAATATATTCACGTGACCTTTTTTAGAAGTAACATTAACTAATGCTTACTGGGTGCTAACTAAATGCTAGGCATGTTTCTAAGTGTTTACCACAAATGCATAAAATCCTCCCAATAATTGTACGAGGAGAAACTATTACCTTCCCCTTTTTATAGATGAGGAAACTCAGGTAAAAAACCACGTAAGCTTGCATGACGAGTAAGTGATGCGCCATGATTCGATCCCGGGCGGCCTGGTTCCAGCCCATGTAGCCACTGCAGCCTTTTCCCTTACTGGGTAGTAAGGGCCCAGTAACTCAAGGGACATTTTCATCATAAGCACACAAACACCATCATGGTTATTTATACATCTCTCCCCCTCGAGACACTATGAGAACCTCAAGTACAGGAAATGCCATGTTACCCATGTCTATGTGTTCTCAGGCCCTGGCACTGAAAGGTGGTAGAAAGCAAGAGAAGGCAAATCTTCATGGGCTCCCCTATGTTTCTCATTTCTTTTTCTAATCTGGGAATAAAGAAGAAAGTCTTTAGTCTTTAAGAATCAAAGTATTCCCAATTACCAAAAAAAAAGTTTAAAATTGTAAAAAAATGCACACATGGGCTTAGTTCAAAACAATTTTACATGCTTATGCTGCAGAAAAATCCGAAATTCATAAGCCTGTTGATTTATGTAACCCACATAGCTATGGCTTGGCATTATGTGGTCACTGTCCTTCAGAAGCCACACGCCAACACATCACACTGGTGAACCGAACAGTCGTCCACTTCCCCGTGCACGGGTCTCACACACACACACCCCTCGACGGTAGTTCCAAGAGGCCCAGGCGATCACGTCACTGGCTGGTTCCCACACTGCCCCTGACCGGAGTGGTTCGGAGATCCAGCCGAGCTCCTCGACACCCCGCCATAGCCCTCAGTAACCCCCCACCAGAGCAGCTCCCTTTCTGATCGCTTTACCCATGCAGGTTCCAGATGAGATTTCACAAACGGCTTTTACAGCTAAGGAAAAGTTAAAAACTAACTGAACTAGTCCAAGTCTCTCCTGTAGTTGAGTTTTTATAAGTAACAAAACCGTATCTTAAGACTTCCCAACTTGCTTGAAAATAAAGCACCACTGTAAATGCACAGAGCATACCTTTTTTTTTTTTAAGATTTTATTTATTTATATGTCAGAGAGAGAGAGAGAGTGCACAAGCAGGGAGAGTGGCAGTCTAAGGGAGAAGCAGGCTCTCTGCTGAGCGGGGAGCCCAATGTGGGGCTCGATCCCAGGACCCTGGGATCATGACCTGAGCCGAAGGCAGACGCTCAACTGACCGAGCCACCCAGGGATCCCTAGAGCATACCTCTTCTAAAAATGAAATTCAAGCCAGAAGTGAGAGCAAACAGCAAGAATGGACTTCCACAGAATAAAGATGGCTGACGAACTCCAGGATGTCTTGTCTCACTGGGAATCTACATCATGACAGGAACACACTGGATCTAAATTCCACTGCTGGGCTTCAGGGCAGAGCTGGAGGTCCTCATTAAGAAGCAGGAAAAACCTCAGAACTCCGTGCTCAGAATTCAACCCCAGGACCTCCGCTCCAGAGCCGTTATCAGAAACACTCAAACCACAGGCTGTGGGCTGGAAAAGATAGAATCCCAGCAGTTCTCCAGTTGGGATCACACCCTTCAGCAAGCCGTATGCTGCTTTAGCCCCAAGAAGAACTTCCAGCAATGGGCAATGGGTTAGACCAACAGCTGAAAACCACCCTCCTCATGAGAACCCCTTTAAAAATCAGCAAATATGATGGCCTCTTCAGAATATGGGAGTGAAAATGTGCTTCCACATGACAAAGCAGGGGAGGAAAATTTTCCCCTAAAGCAATTCAGTAAGACTACAAAATGAGTCCCAAATGTGCAGAAAAATCCCATTAGGGAGATGCACAGGTGAGGAACTAATATGAACCCACCTCGTTTTAAATAAAAACACACCTTCCAATAATGAGGGGGAACGGGTGTTGTCACACACTCAGTCATTCCTGGAGTGAGGACAGTTAAGGGGACAAGGGGACGGACAAATTCTGAATTTCTGCAAACTCCCGGGTGAACCAACTTACTGTGGTTTACGCTCAGCCCCAGTTCAAGAACTGGAGAGCTGGCTACAAAACCAACTAATGCCCAAACAGCCAGGATAACAGCAATCAAGAAATACGATGCTTTAAAAAATACTTTGTAAGTAAATAATAATACACAGAAGACACATGAGTACTGTACAAATGCAGATTTATTTTTCTTCCCTTCATCCATAGTATGAAAAAGGTTGAAAATTGTTAGGAAACCACTTACATACAAAGCACCTCTGAAATTATGCTTTTCTTCGGAAAACAACTTATAAAAAATAATAAACATTTAAAAATTCAAGTCCTTTAATAAAGTATTTTACACTCCTGAATGTTAAAACGCCTGTGTTTCCTAAAATATAGTACAATTTAAAAAAAAAAAACTTATAAAGTGACACTGATTTGAATTACACAGGATCCCTGACAATTAAAAATATGTTCTCCCCTATAAAGTGAATCTGTTCTTCACAGGCAAAACAATAGTTAAAGTGTATTTCTCTGATTAATTCATTTATTTTATTCTCCAGCTAATTCTTACAGTAGACTAATGGTAATTTATAGTTTCTTCAAGTAAGTTAACAAAACATATCCAAAATGTTAATCACCACATGCATGATTCTGGGAGAGTGACAATATCTATACATACCCCAAAAAACCATTTCACCAATTAACAAGAGCCAATGTGGCTCATTATTCCCTGGGGCAAATCTTCTTCAAGAAGATATGACAGTTTTCCCTTGGTCCTGCTACAGCTATTTCTGAGTAGCATTTTTCCCCCCAGAAAGTAAATGCTCCCAGGGTGAAAGTCAAGAAATGTAGTGTTTGGCGCTGTGATTTTGGAACGTTGATGAAATTTCCAGGGACTCTCTGACCATCCATCCATCCTCACCACATGAGATAAGATCGCCTCTGAGCGTGTACCCCAACATGTGATGGGGCCAGGATTCCATTCCTCTCATCACTCTAGGACCAGGTAACATGACTGGTTTACCGGTTTAACAGACTACCAGCCAGACGGGTTGGTAAGTGAGCTACGGAAAGCATCCCACCTACGGAGATATACTGTACCTGGGGGCATGTGTGTCTGTCTGAGTAGGGGCTGAAAGAACAGGAATTTCTCGTCATTATTAATGTCACGATGAAAAAAAGCTCAACTAAATTGGTGCAAGTCTCAGCACACTACCACTTCTTAATTGCTAAAAAGTTTTCAAATACTTGGTATGAATTTCATAGTTCACAGACTCCAAAAGGAAAATTACCACATTTCTCACCTGAGTGGAGTCATTTTAAGCACCTTTGTAAGGACAGATGTTAGATGGGGAAGCAGGGCAGGATGGTGTGAGCAGGAGGTGCAAAAAAAAAAAAAAAAAAAAAAAATTCGATGTTATAAAGGTTTTTTCTTTCCTTTAAGTTTTCCAAATATTTTACATTTTCTGTGCCCCTGAATAATGCAAGCTGTGGAGTGGCTGCCTGTGTGAAAGGAGCTGCCTCCAGACTGTGAAGTTCAAGGACTCATCAAGTCCATACCCAATTACCAGTTGAAGTGGTCTTTTGCAGATAAAAGTTCCTGAGGCTTCCTTTTTCAGTTCATCTTCCAAACTTCACCTTTCCTGTAAGAAACCTAACAAAAGAAAGAATCAAACAAATTCAGGGATTCACTGTTGGGGGTAAAAGGGAGCATGCTTTTAGGGAAAATCACTTGGCCATTTCAAAAAGGATCTTCTGCAATGGCTGGGTTTTCCTGAGCTGAAGATAAGCCACGGCAATTTAAAGACTACAGTTACAAGGTAATAAAACATCCTGATAAGAATACAAAATTCCACCAATTAACTGGATATTCTGGCCACACAAAGGCACAAAATATTGGTAAATTTTGATTTTTTTTTGCTTGTTTTTAACTCAGAAGAGTTTTGTTTTCCTATTTAATGAGGGAATTGGGCTAATAAGCTAGCTTTTATGATCTCTTTCAGAGCTAAAAAAAATCTCACAAACCCCTTTATGGTTCTAATGTATCAACAAGTCAAGTGTCTAGTGAGATCAGGAGCAGAGACAAAAAAACAAAGTAACAACCCATTATAAAGATTTTTCTGTGAGAGAGATTTTTCAAAGCTTATTACTCTGAAGGAAGAGGCTGTGATTATTTGGTTATGACAACACAGAGGCCATTGTTGGCAACAGGCAGGAGCGCCTATATGCATTAATAAGCAGATTTCCACACGTGGGCCTCAGTAATTTACAAAATTTCAACATATCCAGGAATATGAATGAAAAAATCGGCACCAAAACTCAATATTCTATTTGAATAAGCTTGAGGCTTCTGCATCCAAAATCTACTGGGGAAATATGCCCACAGTATCTCAAAGCATCAGGACAGATCACAGAATGATTTTACTGTTCATATAAACTTGTGGGGCATTTACACATTTTTACATCCTTTTTGGAATAAAAAGCCCAAACAGAATTCCAATAAAGCCCTCTCTCTGACTTACTGAGGCTTTGGAGAACACTGCATTTATCAACTACGGTAACAATAGGTAATAAAGGTTTGAAGTGGTTTGACCCATGTGCCAAATCAAGCCACACACACAAAAAGAAGTTATTAAAGACAAAGGAAGGAACTGTGTAGTTTTCTGTATTAAGCCTAGAAACTTTAGCCCTGCTTTGGGCTCTCGGCTTTTCCTCTTCTCTTCTCTGCTACTGGAGGTTCACTGGCGCCACCCAGTGGCCTTCCCCAGCACTGCTTCAGCGCCACAAGGCCTAGAGGCGGAAATGTCTCAAGTACCATAATGTAACATCCTTATCCACCTCACCCCTTAGCGAGCCTTACTACCTGCCTGGAGCTTTCCCATGCATTATCTTTTTTTCATTCTCACAATAAACCCAGGACATAAGGGTTTTTGCATCCATTTGCCAGATGGGAACACAGAGGCTTAAAGTTAGGTTGAGAATTTGCTTAGTCACAAGCCAACCAGCACTTGAGATGGGATTTGAACCGTTCCTCTGAGCCCACACACAAATCAGCTTTCTGATCTCTACTTATGGCAGTCCACATGCTTACTCGACCTTTACATAATTCTCTGAACCCAAGCTCACAAATAAGCAAGCAACACATTCTACGGTAGAAAGTTGCTATTTGCGAAGACACAGCTTGATTCTAAGTAAGCGACTAAGATAATTTTCTGCTCACCTTTCAGCACATCTTGGACTTCAACAGAAACGTTTTTCAGGCACTTATATAAATTCTCGGCTGTGGCATTACTCTGCTCCTTTTCTTGCCACTTCTTCAGCATCCTAAAGTTACACATCGTAATGTCTTCTTTCTTCTCCCGGATATCATCAATATCACCAATCTCCAACTCCAGGTTGGCAATGGCAATTTTTATCCACTCCTTCCCCAGCTTCGCAGCAAGGGTAATCAACTGTGCGTCTTTTAACAGGGTTCTGGTCTTTGCTCCATCTAAAAGCAAACAAGGAAGTCCACCATTCCTTTCAACACGTCAATCATTTATAGCAATTTATAACGAAAATGTATTCTCCTTATATAAGAAAGGACACCATGATTTGTAACATTAGCTGCCTTTAAAATATATTTAAGTCTCCCTGCTTTCCACACTATTATAAGGACTGAAGGGAACGATTTCATATAATAACATTAAACCAGGGTATAATGTTCACAGTGGTAATTCAGTAACTCAGGGAATGAGACTGTTTTACAAAGCAGCACAAATTGGGTGGGAATAAAAAAAAAATCAGACTCCAAAAATAATTTATATAGCTCAAAAAGAAAAATATGCAGTTACACCCTTGCCCAGCTCTGTGTCTCTATCTGAATGTCAGTGCCACACACAGACGCTACATTAAGGGCCACTAAAGCGGGCGGCAAGAGATCTGAATCGCAATCTCCATGATGCCATCTCCTGGCATTCGGGGAGAAGCACAATCCACAGAAAAGTCATGAGATGGTATCTGTAATATCTGTTGAACTCTAAAAAACAGCATCATAATCTTGGAGGGACAGGTGTTTGCTACTGTTAAACCATCGGCCCCATGAAAAAATATGAGCCCTATCACTAAGCTGGATTTTCTCTTTTCATGCTTTTTAGCCGGTTGAGCAATAGTGTAGCAAAGCTCACTGGTCGCCTAGATTCAGTGAAGGATCATAAAGGCATTACAAATACTAGAGGTGAAATTAGAAGGGAGTGAGAGGCCTGCCCTTCCTCCAGGACCACAATACCTCTGCTCATCTACAGCCCACAATTTACTAAGAGGAATGTAACCTTTGTGCTGGGACCCTTCCCCACCTCACAGATCCCTAACCTTCTAGATTGAAGAATGGGTCTAAGCAATGGCCTGCGCCCTCTAGTGGCTTCTTGAGACGTGGTGCATTGCTCCTAGCTCTCCCAACGGCCACTGCAATGGAAGCTGCACGGGGAACCTAGGAAAAATGCAAGTTCTCAGGACCATCCCCAGATCAGTTTCTGATTCTGAACCTAAACTTTAACAAGATCTCCAGATGATTCTATTGAGCCTGAGTGCTAACCATATTTAAAAAGCATCAATCACACTCACAGAGTAAATCTAAAACCACCAGGATGGTGGTGACAGTATCTCAAAGAACGTTGTGGAAGTACCTAAAACAAAGTAAATCCTTATTAAATTATTTAGATACCACACTGTCAACTCCAAAAAGGCTGGCAATCCTTAATCTTTCTAGGTAGCATTTAATAATTTTAATGCTTTTTCTACCTACTTGCTATTGGAGTTAATTTTAAATAGCCAGAAGTTAACGGCATGTAACAAGAAACTTATAACTGTGTCCCAGTTATAAGATGAATACGGGCTGAGGATCTAATGGACAGCATGGTGACTAGAGTTAATACTGTATTATACACTTGAAATTTGCTGAGAGTAGATGTTACATATTGTTGCCACCAAAAACAAAACAAAACAAGAAAGTGAGGTGATGGATGTACTAATTAACTTGATTGGTAAATATTTTACATGTATATGTGTATCAAATCATGACATTGTACGCTTTAAGTATACACAATTTTATTTGTCAATTATATCTCAATAAAACTAGAAAAAAACGTATTCCAATATAGTTAGGTTTTTAAAATAATTCTAGAGCCTCACTTACTTTGATGTTTACTTAACAAAAATAACAATAAACATTTCTATAGTGATACACAGTAAAAATCATCCACATGCCACCCTCACAATCTGTTCTAGAAAGTAGAGAGTATCTTGCTTCACTTTACAGAGAGTTTATCTGCTTTCAGAGATTCATACCTTACAATAATAGTAAAATAGGTATTTTGATGAAGCAGTTAATTTATGGAGTTACATGAGGTTCCTGAAGCCTTGAGACCTTGAGTCTCATATAATTTGAGACTGTTTTTAAACTTAAGTTTGTAAATTCTGGCTGGACTTGAATTTTGAGCTACATACTCCATCTTCTGGTCCCTTGGAGTACTGTTGTTAAGCATTTAAATCTCGTATTTTCACAACTATCAAGCCTTGGTCTCTGACGTTTAGTTGGAAGAAACTGAGACCTGCCTCCACTGAGCTGGAGGCTCTTTACCCCAGATGTAGCTAGTAACCATGAAGCCAATGAATGCACACATGGACATTCACAATTTCATTCAATCGACATTCATTGTCTTCTACATAAAAGGCTCCATGCTCATTGCTACAGGAAACATAAAGATGGACAGTTCATGGCCCCTGTGCTTACAGACTATAAGGGAGCTCCCTGGGTGCCCCATTCTATTTAGACTGAGTGAAGGGGTTCCACTGGAGGACTCAAACTGGAAAAAGGGGAGGGCCGGCCAAGCAGGACCATTCTCCCGGCCTGAGGCGCTGGGACACAGAAGGTATCTGAGGAGGACAAGCACAACTGGGATGCGGCTCCAGAAGACTGACCCAACAGCTGGGCTTGGAAGAGCATCAGTGGGGGAGACCAGGGGAAATAATTTATAGCTGCTGATGACCTTTTTACACACCTGAAGTGTCAACCTGCTTCATTCTCTTGTCATAGACGTCCTCATCAGGTAAGCTACTCGTCATTTTTCGCCGCCTGTTACCTTAAAAAAAAACAACAACAACAAAAAACAAATTGGCTTTCCCTAATATTTCTTATTTTCTACCTACCTTTTTTTTTTTAAGATTTTATTTATTTATTTATTTAAAAGAGAGAGACACAGCCAGAGAGGGAACACAAGCAGGGGGAGTGGGAGAGGGAGAAGCAGGCTTCCCGCTGAGCAGGGAGCCCGATGCGGGGCTCGATCCCAGGACCCCGGGATCATGACCTGAGCCGAAGGCACATGCTTAACCAACTGAGCCACCCAAGCGCCCCTCTACCTACCTTTAACCTGGATTTTTAAGGAAATCATCATTCAGGTAGAAACAAATTGAAAATGAATTCAAAGGTTGTTCAGATGATTAAGAGAATAACAATACTTAGCAGATCTTTAGTGATACCACATTTGCCCAGCAAAATAAAAATTCTAGTGGATAGAAGAAATAAAAGAATAGGTTAAAACTCGTTCAATGTCCAGTTAACTAGCACTTACCATTTGTGCTTCTTTTCGAAATGTTCTGATTCTGATCATGCTGAACCCAGTCACCTGTTAAAGGATAATAAGCAGCAATTGGAACAGACAAAATTTGATTTAAAGCAATTTATGAAAGTGTATGAAGCTCTAAGAGTCTTGGCAGTTTCTCTCAAGTTCAAATAGGAGTTTGGGGTTTTAACTTGATAGGTATGCCAATGCACGTATCTTTGAGATAAACACTGAGCACCCCTTCCAACAGGTCCTACAAGACAAATGCTTCCCAAACTCAAGTCATCTGCACACAACTATCCCAATTCTTGCCAAACCCATATGCCAGGTGAAATGCTACTTATTCAGTATTTCTTTACATCTCTAACTACTGTAAACAGAACACTGGTATCACTTGCTATATGGATAAGGAAGTCATAAAGATAAAAAATGTTTATTTTAAATGTTATTTATATGTACTCCACCTAAAACAATCTCAAATATTATCATTCTGTACTTTGGAACATTGTACATGGGGAGTTCTTTCTGAACACATCATTGTGATTCTACATCACCTCCCCTGTTTGAGATGCAGTCCCTGCTCTATAAGGTGTCTGTGCCTCATCCAGGCCTTCTGTAGGTCCCTAGGGTGAAGATGCCTTAATAGTGATGAGCAATCCCAATTAACCATTAGTTTAGCCCCTCCTTCCCCCCAAAACAGTAGAGACCAGAAACACCTTACAATGCAGAGTATTATTAAATATGTTTTTAAAAACCAATCATAAAAGGTCTTATAAAGTGGTCTTTAAAATGACCACGAGACTTGTTCTTAGCCCAGAAAATGTGTTATTCAGATTGTACATGTTGAGTACCTCTATTACAGTGGCATTAGCTGTGACCAAAAAGTAACATCTAGCTAATTTAAGAGTATAATACTGGGAATAAGAATCAATCCCATCTACCGAAAAGGCTTGTGCTTAAACAAGGACTGAGAATTCCAAAATGCTTCGATCGGGTTTCACTGCTAGAGTATAAAGACACAACAGGAAAGGCAGACTATAACAGGCAGCAATCTGCACGGTGGAAAGACATAAATGTATGACCAGCACACAGCACTCATCCCACGTCATCACTAGCAGAGACCTAATTCATTTGTCTACACATGACCCAAGGGGTACAAAAGAAACTAGCCGAAAATGGACTCACATGTGGTTCAGAAGATATAGAGACTTACAGAATACTTAACAGACCCTTGTTATTACTACATCTGTACAGCAAAATAAAAATTCTGGAGGATAAAATTAATAGAAGAGTGGGTTAAAATTCCTTTGATATCCCACTAATGGCACTTACTGCTTGTGCTGTTTTTGGAATGATACTGGATTACGTATGATACCGGTAAAGAGTTAAGGTATTATAATTCAATGCAAATGATGCAAAAATAATTTCTACTACAAACATGGAGCATTGGCAGGAGGGACCCCAGTGCCATGCGCAGAGGAGGGTACAACAGCCACAAGCAGGTTCAGGGTCTTGCCCACACTCACTCACAGAGCTGCTCAATTCTAGGGCTGGAACTAGAACCCATAGGACCTCACTCCCAACCACTCTCTTCTGCCTCCCTTTTGGCTCCAAAATGTGCCCACTAGACATATGTCTGTTGTTTTAATAACTTCCTTCAAAGAGAATTGAAAGTCAAGGTCAGATCTGCCTGAGGAGGTGGCCAAGGGCAGCTACGGGGTGTCCCCCTGCATCTCCCCTCTTCCAGAGGAAGTCCACATCAGCGGCAGCCCTCTCCAACTCCTCCCAGTGCAGGGGAGGATGTTGAAAAGGTGGTTGCGAAGGGACTTTCCAGCACAGAAATCTTAAACAAGGGGAATGCGTTCCCGCAGCAGAGCTGTAATCACACAGAGCAGGGCTACCAGCTGCAGATCAGATAGGCAGGGTGAGGCAAATGAGACAGGAAATCAGTCAAAATGCAGATGTACATCAAGGTCATGGGACAGACTTTGTCAGGATGTCCCTGATTCACATTAAAACATCTGAGATCCAAACCTCAGAATGTAAGGGGGGGTGGGAAACAAAACCCTCTACTGACTAAGCCCACCTGCTGCCTGAAGTTTCCACACTTCACTGAACTACCCACTGACCAAGGGGTCTGGCAGTGGGTGCCTGAGAACCAGAGCCTCTCCGGGGTCTTTGTGTCTCTTAATCAGATTTTTAGCTGTTATGGTAATGGAACAATCACTCTACTTGTTTGCCCACCCAGACCACCCCCCCAAACCCGAGTTTTCATTCAAGATACAAAACACTTACATTCTCTCAGTTTTGCTTTCCATACAATTTCCTCAGAATCCATTTCGACCAAAAGTAATTTAAACTCCACTGGTTGCTCCAAATACACTTCAATGTAACTTTTCAATTTTAAAAGTGAACCATCAACAAATTCAATTTCCTTTAAAAAAAAAGGGGGGGGGATTTTTTTTTTTTTTAAATAAAAGCTGCATTAGTTGACAACATGAAATGTCCAATAAGGAATAACAGAAGGGTCACTGCTGACTTGAATGCTCCCTGAAATTCTGATGCTGGAAATCTCACTCCGTAATCACAGACCCTCTGGTTCACTTGCTTCTTCTAGTCCCTCTTTACTCAGACCTGCTTTTCTCCCTCATTGAGGCTTCCAGTACTTTGGCCCTATTTTTTTAAGGTGTAACTTTTCAGCCCTTTCTTGGTTTCAGTGTTTCATGTTCCCAAACTAATCACCCTTTCATAAGTGCTTTTAAGCTTCCTCACCATCTTTCACTTCGATCATTCCACAACCTGGAATTGATTCAAACCATTTACAGAACTACACTGTGTGTTTCGTCCACATCGAATTCCCTCATCGAATACCACCTTGCCCCAACAAACCCTCTCATTGCTTTTTCATGGATAAAGGATCTCAGAGAACCTAACTAACTTGCCCAAATCCACATCTAGGAAGTGGGAGAACTGAATTCGCATCCACACATTCTGACTCAACCACCACATTTAACCTCTCCATTTATCCACTACAGAGACTGCCCCATGCCTTGGACCTCCTCTGCTCCTCTCGAGACTGGCAAGCAAGCCTGCAGGGAGAAATCTAGTTTAAAAAAAAAATCAATGAACTGTACTGGGCATCACCCTTAAGCCAACAGTCTTACCCTCTCCCTCTCCCTTTCCATTATAAACTACTACCATTATCCTCACCATGGGTCACCAAGGCCTACAAAGCCAAGATCTCTCCCAAAGCCCTCTGCATTCCCATTTCTCATTCCCATTTCTCTGGGGCCTTGGGCCTGGCTGCACATCCCCATCACCTCACTTAGGCACTTACGGTTCCCTCTTCCAGGAGGGCTGTCTCTCCCAGTGAATCCCTCTCCCTTCAAACCCAGAACAAATGTCACCACATAGGAACGCTTCCTTCCTGGAAACCCACTGCACCCATCTCTATGGTAATACCACATTACACGTTAAAATTATTTCTTTACGTGACTATAGTATGTCTCTCTCTATACTGGCATCTTTTGAGGGAAAAGATCATGACTTACTCATTTTAGCTCTTCTCCCAGACTGACTTATAATAGGTACTTTTGATAAATGTCAGTTAAACGAATCATTAATGGTCTAAAATCAGTAAGAACACCTTAGATTTAACAGTTTCACAACTCTCAGAGTACCCCAAAACCACTACCTTGTATGATCATTAGGGCAATCCTGGAAGATTATCCCCATTAATCCAGAAATTTGGTTAAGAGAGAGCACACAAATGCTAACAGAACTAGACTACTTAAAGCCCTCCCACCGTCATCATCTTGTGTAAGCGAGACCTCTGGGGACCATCTGAGTCCCTTCCTAGACAGATTTACCCATTCAGTGTGTATTATTCCCTCTCCTAGTGGCTCTTAATCTTGGCAGCACATTACACTCACCCTGAGAGCTTTAACAAGCCCAATGCCGAGGCCACTCCCAGACCAATTAAGTCAGTATCGCTGGGGGTAGGACCCAGACCACAGACTTTTTTAAAAGCTCCCCTGGGAATTCCATTTGGCAGCAAAGGCCAAGAATCACACTGTTCTAAGCAAACCCTTCGAATTTCATTCCACGTCCCAGACAAGACTGCAGCTGGCTTCTGGTGATCATCTTGAGGTAGCATCTGCCAGGGCTAGGTGAGCTCGCAAGGGCTAGGAATCAACCTCTCAGATACCAGTGGGAAGACTGTGGCATTAGGGGCCATGGGCAGAGTGGGCTCAGGGCCAGGCTTGTCTGCCACCTGGGCATGGGACCTGGGCAGTTCGCTCGCCCGCTTTGCACATTAGTCCCTTCAGCTTCACTGTTGTGAAGCTCAAAAAAAAACAAAAAACAAAACAAAAACACACGAGGTGGGAAGAAACCCTTTGCAACTGGAAAGGAAGGTATGGAAGGCTGTCTGACCAACCTGACTGCTTCTACAGGGCCCGAGGCCTCTGATAATATAATAATGCAACATGGGCCACTGCCATCAGCTCTCTCGTGTTTCCTATTTTAACGTAATGGAATCCAAACATGTTTTCAATTTTTCACAAACTATAAAACAAACAAAAAGAGGTGTACAAAAAGAATTTCCACACAGATTTCTAGTTAGATAAGCTACAACACACATTCAGAGCATGCAATGAAAATAAGTTTTAAAAATAACTTTGTCACTTTATAGGAAACCGAAATCACTTACAAATGTCATGGTGTGTACACTGAATAGTTGAAATCTAGTGACAATTTGTTCCCATAACTATTTTTCAAATGCCTTCCAATAAGAAAAAGCCAATATCCTTGTTAGCAACTCTTTCCTATTAACTTTCAGTGTTCTGTGACTTAAAATTAAACTTAAGGTTTTTATTCCTTTGAAACTAACATTGTTTGAGGAATTTAATTTAAAAAACTCAAGAAAATTTAAAATCTTTTTAAAGGGAAAAAGATTAAATAGTCTATTTTTGCGATGGTGGCAGATTAATTCTGAAATTCAACAGTGTCTTTGGAATAAGCTACAAGTTTAGCAAAACAATTGCTTTCCTATAAATAAATTAAAAATGAGAACAAAATGCATTCTTCTAAAACTTTCAAAATAACCTTAAAATATACATCCCTGCTGCTACTCCAAGTGGTTTTTTAAAATATATACCTCTGGGGTGATTTCAGCTTCTGGTTCACTGATCAGTCTGTATTTCTTCCCGTTCTGCAATAACTTCTGGCAAACAGGAGGCTTGTCAATTTTCATGAATCTCTTAGAGGAGTGCTTTACCGACTTGGAAATATCCTACAGGTAGAAATAGGTTTTGGCTATGAAATGTATCAGCAACAACTGTAAGAACTATAAGCGCCCAGCAGTGCACGTGCCGCCCTGCATTATCTTCATGTCCCCCTACAGAATGACAACGATGGAAAAACCTTCACAGCGCTCTAAAAAGGAGGCCAATTAGGCACCTTGAACCCACGCTGCAGGCTTCTAGGTCTCCAAACATCTTGCTGCCCAAGCACACCAGCCAGAAGCAACACACGTGCCCTGTATGGGACCAAAAGTTTGCTTCTGAAGGATTTGAGAAAATTACATGAGCGCTAGTATTACACATTTGTGTTGATTATCTGCCCATCGTGTGAACTGAATACAAAGCAACGATTTTACTGTACACAGTTCTGCTTTACCCAGAGCTTGCTTCTACCCAGCACTTTATGTGTTTCTACCCTTAGTTTCACCACTGTCCCAGGGGGGTCACTGATTTTATATACACAGTTCGAATGCCCCAAGGAGGCGAACAGAGACTTTGGCCCAGGCTCACTTGTAAAGCAGCTGTATAGCTGAACGTGAAATCTGGGTTTCCTGAATGCAAAGTGCCAGGAAATCTTCCTACATAGGAAAAAAAAATCAACCCAAGAAGGTGTAAAAATACAGCATCAATAGGAAGCACATCCTGCCCTAACCATGCCATGTTCCTATGGTTCCAGCGATATAATCAGCTCCTCACCCCAGCTTCCCAGGAAGTAGAGATAACACCCTTTTAATTAACTGAATTTACTTTTAAGAAATATAAAGTTCATTGAATAATAGTACTTATTCCAAATCCATGCTAATTCTACTTTACTTTACTCTACTTTTTACACCATTTTGAAAAGTAGTTTCCCAATTGAAAGTATGAACTTTAACAGGATTATAGGAAGCATATTTTACCTTCTTAGGAAGAAACTAAAAATCTATTATTCAATAGAGTTCTTAAATTTTAATATATATTGCCAATTGTAATCAATATAATTTATGTTTAAAGCCATCAAAACACTATAACCTAAAAACACTGGATATAGGTAGTTTGGTATTGGAGGGGGCCAAGGGCTGGCTATGCCAAGATGGGCCACTTTGGCATGAAGATTGTTTTTAGTTCAAAAGCAATCACGGGTGGGGGTTGGGTGAAATATGTGAAGGGGATTAAGAGTACACTTATCATGAAGAGCCCTGAGTAATGTATAGAATTGATGAATCACTACATTGTACACCTGAAACTGACATAATCCTGTATGTTAACTATACTGGAATTTTTTAAAAAATTAACTAATTCAAACAATTTTTTTTAAAAAAGCAATCCGAACCCAGCAGATTCAGGAAAAGCTCTCCCCCACCCCACACCTGACAGCTGCCTAAAAGAATCTGCATAGAGGACCTGCTCCAGGAAGAGAGCTGTCACCACAGATGACTACACTAGCACATGAACTAGGTATGGGAGACAGGGAGGAACACAGCAAGGTCTGTGGGCTCAAACTCCTACGTCCCATGGCTTCTGAGTGGCCCAGCAGATGCTCGTTTGCCAGACATTTACTCTTTTTCATTGTCCTGCGAATTGCATTCCTTCCCTGTGAAGTCCCAGACCCCTGCCCCCTTTCTCCTTAGATCAGAATGACCGCCCTCCAGGAACCGGAAAACTTGGCACGCACCTAGGCACTGACCCTATAACCTCTCTAGATGAGTGCCAAGTGAGACCCGCAGCGGGGGGACACTTCAATCAACAGGAACGGGACCCACATACACATGGCATCATGTCTGAACACAAAGTAGTCAACACTTATTATTCATTTTCATTAACTTTACCTTGATGAAAGACTCGTTATTGGTTGCTATGTACACTCGAAAAGACAAGGATGGGTTATGGTCAATGGCTTTGTAGAGAATCACAGCCCCGTGGTGGTATACGGTCTCTTCACTTTGAATAACAGGTCCCACAGGAGAAAGAGAGCTCACACGCCATTTGACGTGGGTTGTAGAATGATCCACGGTAGATTCTAATGAGGCCCCAGAACTTTTAACATGTAAGACTTTGAATGTCATATTGGCATCATGGTCTGTTAAAATATGAAGGTAAATTAGCGCTCCAGGCAGTACATGGGTTGCACACATACTCTCACATATACACTCACGTGCACACGAATTAGACTTTTAGGAAACAAGTACTTACGACCCAAGCAGAGGGAATGTGGAAACTGAATGGAGATAAGACAGGTTGGGTCACATTTAACATCAAACAAGGGTCCACCGACAACCCAGGGTTTAACAACCAGGTCTGCATATTTGCTCCAGGACAAAACGCAATACTTGATGTCAACTTTTCTGTTAACCTCAAATATCAGACCAGTTTCCGTGCACTGGTAAGTTCCCTCTGTGTCCAACTTCAGTCTGCATTGGACAGATAAGAACACCTTTTTAGTCCTTATGTTTGGTCAGGAGAGGACTTCTTAAAATTATTTATGTTTTTAATTTCATTCAAAAGCACTAATGAAATTCTATAGCATTTTGAAGAAGCATCACTACCAAAGAAAATAGTCCAAGTAATTACATAAAGTGTGTGAGATTAATTAGGTTGTTTTGTGTTTCCCCTACCTGGGGTCATTTTTACATACGAAGTTAAATTACTGACCACGTTAAATTTTCTCTATTCGCAACTACTTACAAAAACTGTTCCCCGGAAAGGAGCCTGGGGGTCACTTGTTCATTGTGTTTCTGGAGAAAAAGTACAGACATATTAGCAAATAATACACAAGTAAATGTTATTTTCTTAAAGCAAATTAAGAGAATCATAGTCTATAATGAAAAGATACTTACATTTTCAGCATTACAATGTTCACAGTAAGGTTGGATCTTTTTCAGTTCTAAACGATAGAGAAAAAGTTTCACTTATATGAATGTGATTGGCATTTTCAAATACAAATTTTTAAATAAATATATGTGAGATGACCAGATGACAAAATTCAGAGGTATATGCCCCTTCAGCAATAACAATATTTAAAAGAATATTTTGGAAAATGTCAGTTTATACCTGAATGTGAATGATCTTTGGGCAACTCTTTATCCTCCCAGTCTTCGGCTGTGAATGAGATCATCACACATGCATCGGCACAAGTCAGTCACAGGGTAAATAGTGTACTACTCAAGCACCCACCTTCAGCTTCCCAACCAACAGAACTTTAAACATGTATTTAAACACCTCCACGAGTCAATCCAAAGACACATTACGTCTGTCAATCCCACTGTAGGTCTAAGGTGCAAAAATGAGCTCGAATGTAACTCGAGTTTCAGTGTACCCTATTTTGGCACATAAATCTTTATGTGATCTTTCTATGTGGCAGCAAAGGCTTTGTCATCATCCTTTACACCTGACCCTCTCACACAAGCATGGGAGAGAAGCAGAGGAAACCGCATTGCCTGGTTCTTACCCTGAGCAGAAGCTTCCTCCGTGCAAGACCCTCCTGGCTCCCCATCTGTGAAGACAAGAGGGGCATATGAGCAATCTCTTCATTAGTTATTCCTCACCAGGGCCAGTGTCTCCACTGGAGAGCTGCAGCCCCCACTCAAGATTCCTTCATGGCCCAAGATAATGCCTGGCTGGCATCAGCCCTCCAGCTATTAGGGCTAGAGATTAGCCTGGAAGAAAAGAACTGACAGCTGATTTTAAGCATATTTAAACTTATAACTTATAAGTATATTTAAACTTATGGAACGACTGTAAGAGTCTCTGATTTAGCCTGCAGATTCCTTCCATATGGCTCAAGGCCCTATACGATCTGGCTACCCATTACCTCATCTCCTGCCTGCCTCCCCGCACCTGAGGCCCTCCAGTCACTACCTGCCATTTCTCCACCTCAAAACTCACTCCTGACTCAGGGCCTTTGCACATACTGTCTCCTCTCACAAATATTCATGTTGTTTGCCTCCTCACATCTTTGTGGTCTCTGCTCAAACGTCCCCTTATCTGAGAGGCTTTCCTGATGCACATGCACACTCCCCCTCCCTGAAACAGGGCCTGCCTGACATACTCACTCTGCCCCCTTCATTTTCCTTTGGGGCATCTCCCCCACCTGGCACACTGTAGTTTAGTGTTTTCTGCTTCCCGTTTCTCTCCCTACTAGAATGTAAGCTTCATGAGGACTGTACCGCAAGGGCCTGGTAAGTGCTTAGTCACTATTTTCTGAATGATTAGAATTCTGTAATACAAAAATGTATTAAGAAAGGGAACAGCAGGGGTGCCTGGGTGGCTCAGTCAGTTAAGCGTCTGCCTTGGGGTCAGGTCATGATCCCAGGATCCTGGGATAGAGCCCTGCATCGGGCTCCCTGCTCAGCAGGGAGCCTGCTTCTCCCTCTCCCTCTACCCCTTCCCCCTGCTCATGCTCACTTTCTCTCTTTCTCTCAAATAAATAAAATCTTAAAAAAAAGAGAGAGAGAGAAAGAAAGGGAACAGCAATGAATTTTTCTATTATCTACATTGGTCACTAGTTGCATGAGCTTGGGCTATCTGGTGATATTACTAAGTCTCCCCAAGCTTTACTTTCCATATCTATCCAACGGAGATTAGAATAATACCACCCCTCCCCAAAATTTAGGAAAATTAAATGACCATTCCCTAATGCTCAGTAAGTGTTAGATAACTATTATTAACTATTATTTTGCTATGGTGATAGGTGGGACTCATTAAAAAAATTTAAGAATTCTAGACAACAACCCTGTCACTTAAGGCAAGACCTAATGTGTCAAATGCTTGGTTTTATATTGTAAAGGTCTTAACAACCTTTGGGAGGGTCACCCCATGGGTAAGGCACTCCTCAACACATATACAAGGTCCTATGCCATCACCAATGCCCAGGAAGTACAGACACTCACCCCCCCAGGATAGCGCTCCTGCCTGATCTCCTGGCCTACAGCGTCAGTATCCAGGGACCAGGGCTTGCAAGAAAGAACCAGCTTTAAAAAAACAGCATGAAGATAATGTGGCAAAAAGAGACTAAAATTATTCAGAGTCCTGGACTCAGAACATGATAGATCCGAAATACTGACCCAACTCCTGCACCACACCATCCTCCGATCATATTTCCTCAGTTACTGTCCTATAAAGGATCATAAAATTCTAAATTATTGATTGGCTGTCTGCTACATTGTATTTGATCCATAGCTCATGGTTTTCTGCCTTAGGAGCAGAGGAAGTGAAAGAGATCAGAGAATGCTATCCAGCTGGCAAACACTGAGTCTCTGACCAGGTCTTCCCAGCCAAAGCAGAGAAATCAATGCAATTCTCCCCAGTTTATCAACTATGGCTTCCCTTTAATCTGTCAGACGTGGGTGACCCCACATTCATGCCTGTGAGTAGAAAGCATAACCACTCAGGGAGGACGGGTGGGCCTGCATCGCCGGCTGGCCCACAGAGGAGCAAACATTCCGACGTGGCCTACCCAGTAGGGCCTACCCTACCTGACCTGAGAACGGAGGTGAATGGGAGGGTACCTCTCTGATCGCTCCCCTAATGGGAAGGATCAAAGACCTTTTAACAAAGAAAATAATCTTGGGGGAAGGCAGGACCTCTTCCACGACCTGGGGCTCCAAGGACAAGCATCCTCAGCCCGCCCACAGAAGATGCCAGGGCACTTTGACTGCCAAAGAATACCAAGATGTCTGACCCTGTCAAGGGCCAGCCCCTCCGTGCTCCACATACGCCCTGCTGACCACACTGACCCCACCCACCCACCAGATTTTGAGCCTATCTTGAGCCTAATTGACTCCGAATGCCTTCCACCTAGGTTGCCTGCCCTGGTGCGGCCCCGGCCCAGGCCTAGCGTCTGGACCCTGAGGGTCCTGACCCTGGACTCCACGTCCCTGTGGCCCATTACCCAGTTGTTACCAGGGACAACATCAGAAACCTGGTCCCTGTGCCAGCTTTCTAATTTCATTTCTATCTTAATCCAACCTATGAGGCTAGACTTTTGACTACATTTTGAAGGATGAAATAATCCATAATGTACAGAGAATGGCAGGTGAGAGGGTTGGCGCACAGTTTTTCTTTATGGGTATCAGAATATGACATTTCCACGAGGGTGCTACACACATCATTCCAGCTTCTTATCAATGTATAACATGACTGCAAGAAACTTACAGTTACCATCACAGGTTCTCCACAGAGAAACTGCAGAGAAAATCAGATTATATACAGGACTTCCGAGTGAAGAGATTTCATTTATTTTCAAGTACTGCAAAGGCGCTCTCTGACTGCCTTGCTACAGAGTTCATGGGCAGGTCAGAGTCTTAAGACCTGGGGTAAAAAATCCTACAGTAAAATAAAATCACTTAAACTACAAGCTTAGTCACTCACAAAACTTTAGGCAAAAACCGTATTTTATATTTAGAATCTATCCCCTTCAAGTGGTTTCATATTCAAGTTGTTCACAAATAGCTAAGAACAGCATGCCAGAAACTCTAAACCACAAATGGTACATTTGCCGCGGCAAAGAGTTGAGTCTGCCCTAATCTGTGAGCAGCGAGCACCACAGGAGGAAGCTCGGGCCGCTCGCGGCGGCGGCGGCGCCGCCGATTACGGCCAGCCTCTCAATCCTTCCTCCTTAGGGAACCTAAGAGCAGAACTGCACACAAACAGTCTTGGTATCAACGCAGATCACAAGCATATGCTTTGTATGCCCGGTGTAGGGAGCTCACATTTTCAAAACACTTAGAGAAGTTCCCTAATGTTTACCTTTATTTTGCACAGAAAAAGATAACGAGCAAGCAATCGGTAACGTAAAAACCCCAAAGGCTATCCTTCCCGTTCTTCCTTTCGACAACAAAAAATAAAATCGGGAGGAAGGATATACTCACTTGTTTGTTCTGGTTCTGGTTCCTCATTATCTACAAAAAGAAAAAAAAAGTCTAAATCAAATTCTTTTGACAACCAAGAGGAAACACAGGCTGATGGGAGAATAGGTAAAATGTTTGGCTTTCGCCAATAGCAACCATTTCCTGCCTTTCTTCTTCAGCTCATCCTGTTCTCCCACTTCGCTTGCCAACCAGAAAGTATTTACCACGTATGTATTTCTTCAGGACTTCACAAAACCACGCTAGTAATAGGTCCTCAAACAATATAAGAGATGTGTGCATTACTTAAAATAAAAGTAAAGGCTCATAGGTTTAACCAGAATTCCATAATTAAGGAAAGGCATACATTACTCACCAGATTCACTTTCAGAGCTGCTCTCAGAGCTGCTGTCCTCCCCTGAATAAAAACATACGCCACAGGAAATACACAGAGAATAAAAAATAAGAACTATTTTTTTAATTATACCTATTATAAAATAGATCCAAACTCAACTGATTTCTTCCTAATTTAATAAATTCTCATTGAGTCTGGGGCGCCTGGGTGGCTCAGTTGGTTAAGCGACTGCCTTCGGCTCGGGTCATGATCCTGGAGTCCCGGGATCGAGTCCGCATCGGGCTCCCCGCTCAGCGGGGAGTCTGCTTCTCCCTCTGCCCCTCCCCCCTTTCATGTGCGCTCTCTCTCTCTCTCTCTCTCTCAAACAAATAAATAAAATCTTTAAAAAAAAAAATTCTCATTGAGTCCAAAACTAGCCTGGTTCCTATAAGAGGGGGCTTATTTTTCTTTGAAACTGGATAAAACATACTTGAGTTATTTAAGTATGAGCTCCGATCACCCTCTGGCTTCATCTGGTCATCGCACAAGCCCTTCCCAGTCGTGCCTTGCCCTCACTGTTCCTGTCTGGCTCCTGCATTTGCACATCTGGACAGTTCACATGCACAAGGCCAATGACACAACTGTGCAGAAATTCTGGAGTGTGCGTGCCATTGACTGAAGCACAGGACAAACGTAGTCCATATTATCCAACTACTTCTGGAAAGAGTGGTCCCCAAGAATGCTCCCTCCACTTCCTCACCCCCGACTCAGTGCCTCAGCCCACTGCAATCACGCTTCTGTTCCCACAGCTAGCTGGAAATCCTCCCCCTGATGTTCCTAAAGGACCACTAACCCCCAGAGAACGACTCCTGCAGGTAGACACCCACCACTCCCTCCTGCCCACATGGCCCTCCTGTGATGTCTGTCCTGGTACCCCTACCTCTCTGAGTGCTCTCCCCCGGGGGCGGCCTTGCAACTCCTCTCTGCCACCACCGCCCTCCCCCACCAACTACTAACACCCCAGGCCCCACTCCCCATTCCCAGCCTCCTTTCCCCCTCGAGAGCCCTAAGAAGACACGGCACCCACTCTGCAGTCGGATCCGACCTCCACCTGCAGGGGTACCTGGGCCTCTCCTGGCAGACCCCAGGAACACCCCAGGCCCAACCTGCCAGCCGGGCTCCTTCCCCACTCCGACTCCTCATCCTCTCCTCCTCCCAGTTTCCAGACACTGCCTCCCCCTCCACGCAGGCTCTGGATTCAGCGAGCACACACATGGAAAGCTATTAGCATTATCCTCAAACCCTCCTCCCTACGTCCATAACGAAGGAGTGGCAGCAGTTACAAGGAGGGAGGAAAAGATC